CCCCCCCCCCCCCCGCACCTCGGCCGTTACTCCCACTGATTGGCTCTAGTGCGGACCAATCAGCATCCGGCCGCCCTGCCCGCCCCGCCCGCCCAGGGCCAGTGGCCGCACGGAGGTGTCGGAGGGGCGGGGGCTCGTCTTCCACCACGCTGCAGGAGAAGGGGCCCTGTCTCCCCGGACGACCGGAGATGGGCGGGGGTGGCAGACTCAAGCGCGGCCTCACAGCGGATTTCTCCACCCCTGACAAAAGGGGGCTTGGACGAAGGAGGCGGAGCCAAGTGCCAAATGAAAAAGGAGGAATGCAGGAAGCGGAGGTGACCCAGGGAAAGGGAAAGTGCCAGGACCCAGAGGGCCCGCGCCAGCCTGAAAGTACACATTGCAAGGGGGAGGGTGGGAGGTGGGAGGAATGGGAAGGTAACCCTGGAGACAGGAATCCTTGAGATCACAAAAAAGGAAATAAGAGTAAAAGAGAGATGCCAAATTATTTTTTAAAGAGGGTGAGGGCATAACAAAGAATGGCAATAAAAAAACAAAAATAGCTCAAAAAGAATGGCGCGGGTTTGTCTCCTTGTAAAAGCCTGCTCTATCTACAGTTTCAAAACTAAAAGACAAATCTGGGGTACATGCTGGCTGCTGTCACGGAGATTAAGGGGTCTTTTCTGGCCCCCTCGGCCTCCCAGTTTACACTCTGCAGAGTCGGTCACAAAGTACCGCGACATTCTGAAATGGAGCAAAAAAGGACAATGCCAAGAACGTGAACTTAAGAGGTGGGAAACAAAGGGAATGGGAGGGGGGTAGTGCGACTGTCAAGCAATCCAGCAGGTCAGAACTAAGTTAGAGAAGACAATGAAAGTGACAAAAGCAAAGAGAAACAGAAAATGTTGCTGGACAGGAGGAACAGCGCGCAGGCATCCTGCCAGGCCTGAGCACCTGGGCTCAAGGTTCATAACCCCTGAACCAGTGAACAAAACTACAGGAGCTGAAATGTTTAAACCGAGGGCTTAGGGGAAGTAGTACACACCCTCCTGGTACTTCTAATCTTTTCATTAGGTTCTAGGTTTTACCTGAGTAATGGAAGGAAGTTAGGAAAACTACTTTGAACAAGCTAGCTAACACTCTGAACAGAAGCTGTTTCCCACTGATAGGTCTGATTTTGTTCTGTTTCAGATGATAACTATCACTTAACATCTTTACACTGATAGGGCAAAGGTAAGCAAGCAGAATTGAAGATGTAAATGTGCTAGGTAGTATTTGGTGATCCTTTTAAGACACACACCTCAAGTATTCATTATGAAATTTTTCAGACATGATACAAAATAGGATTTTTGCTACTGTAGGATAATTAGAGGTATGATTACTTCAGAATATTATATTTTCCCTAAGAAAGCTAAGAATAGAAGGTAACAAACAGTGTTTCTGTTTGTTTTTCAAGGTATTTTACACATGATTGTTTTAAAGCCCTTTTTAAAAATGAAAATCAACAGTTGTCTCCAAAGCACAGATCTGTTCTACTCTGTAAGAAGAAATGTGAAAATTAAGGAAATAAATGAGGAAAGTGTATTGTTTCTTAGCCTCTTCTTTTAAAATCAAATTTTGGTTCTTCTGGGTTTGTTTCCTTCAAGTTCTCATTACTGTAAAAATGAAGCACTTTTTAATGCAAGTGGTTAAAATATCAGAGGGATTATAACTCCCCCAAGCATCATTTGAAATAACCACAATTTTTACTCTTGATGTTGATATATATAATCAAATATCTTGGTGAATGAGGAGAACAAATGAAATAAATACTGATCACATAAGCGATTTTATAACATATCCCCTAAGATCTTAGTCTGAATGTTCATATACCTATAGCTTGTTGTATAAAACAGAGAAAGATGGGCCAAATATTGGAAGCTCTTACAATCAAGAACATTGTGACCACATAATACCTTTCAATAGGAATTCCAGGCACAAATTACTTGTTCATGAATGCTCATATATTAAGAATAATGCTTTAAAAAGCTCATCCTGTGAAGCTCATGTGAAATTCACAAGATAACCAGTTTGTCAGAATAAAGTGTTTCCAAATGCTGGAAACTTACACATTGCCAACTCATCACATTATTTGCAAACTGTACTCTCTTCTACCCACAATTGTGACCACCAGGAAAGATTCAACAGAATGAAGGCAAGCTAATTTCCTATCACAAATGCTTTCCATTTTCAATACAGCCTTAGCCACAAAAGAAGGAAAGCCAACTTTTAACATTTCCTGAGGCGCCTGCTTTTGAACTTAAAAGGCAAACAACAAATACCCCCAAAATGAAGAGCACACGATTTAGCCTGTACACCCAAACAAAACCACCTCCATTTCCCTGATTTAACATGCCTTCTTTTCAACATGAAAACATTAGGCAATTTTTACAAAAGATGTGCAGCAGCCCCCGAATGATCTGATGTCTCAGTGCGAAAAGGCAGACGCGTTATGATGCACTTCCATAACTCTTAATAAAAGGCCCTGGACACATGCAGAATTTACTGTATTTCCTGTATAAGAATTGGCCATGCCTATGAGATGATGGGTTGATGTGTGAATAATTCCATGAATATTGGTACGGGAACAAAAAGAACATGTCACCCATAATTACTATCTTGCAAGATCATCGATAAGTAGGTCTTTCTCTCTAAATAAATAAGCCTAAAAAGCTCTTAATCCTGACTCTTTTCAGGGCAGTGTGAATAAAACTTGATGTTTCTCCGCTGCTGTTTGTGTTGCCTTGGCCTTGTGAAATCACAGAACAAAAGTACACACAGCAACCTGATAAGATCACCCTTAAGAGCTCACAGTAACTGTCTACAGAGTACAACCCCTGTGTTAACAAATATTCTTGCAGTATTGTCTTTTCCGGGGGCTGACCTAAATATAGAGTCCAAAGAAAACTTCAGTGGAGGTCAAAGTTCTTATGGACGAAGTTTAGAAGCCTCAGAAGTGGCAGTGCAGAATATAAGTTTTTAAAATACTGTAGTAAATACTTCACTCGGGAATTCTCACAAGAAAAAGCCCTCCCGTGACTGCTCTTAAGCATTTATTTGAGCACCTGCCAGGTGTCACCGAGGGGTATCTAATATGCCCTGACCACCCCCCCTCCTCAAAGTGCATTCTCCCTAAGGAAGACCTGGGAAGGAAGGAGAAGGGGCAGAGGCAAAAACAGAATTCAACCACAAGATTAAAAGCTGTTTTGTCTTCATACTTGGTCACCAAAAAACGCACCTGCTGTGATGTCCAGTTGAGCTACTGGCAGTCCTCTGGCTGCTTCTGGAAACTGATGCTGGCATAGGCGCTTAAATCCTCGCTGGATCGCCTGGGAGAGCTGCTCTCAGTGCTGCCCAGGGGCTGATGAGGGATCACGGGTGGGGCAGGCTGTGGCTGAGCAGGGCACTCCTGGGGGCGCTGTTTGAAGTCCTTGACCAAATCCAGGTCTATGTAGTTAAGACCATTCTCTAAGCCCCCAGCAGCCCCACACACTTGGGCTGGCTCCTTGGGGGCTCCCCCAAGCTCCCCAGGCCTCAGCCACACATTCTCAAAAGAAGCAGAGCTGTGGCGTTTCACATCCTCACTGTTGCTGCCACTGCTGCTGCCACAGCCACTGCCCCCTACCATAGCACCCCCTCCAAAGGGCACAGCGTTGCCTGCCCGGCTGGCACTAGGTGTGGAGGAAAAAGTCTCTGAGCTGTGCCTCCTCCGGCACCCTTGTGGATCTGCACGGATCACTTTGGCACTCTGGTTGTGGTTGGGGCTGAGGTTCACCCTGGTGAAGGCGCTCATGCCCCCAGGTCCCTGCGGGCCTCCCAGCAGGGAAGAG